ATGAAATAAATGTCCAATATTTAAAAGCAATATAAACAAATTCTATACATATAATAAAATTCTAACTGAGTCGAATCTGTACATTACACATTTTTTGGCAAATCTTATTGGAATAGTCATTAATCATTATTATCGATACAGTTTCTGTTTTTAGTGTCAGTTTTTAGAATTTTCGTCTGTCTGTGCCCATATCACGAAAAAACTACTGGACAGATTTTGATGAAATTTGGTATGATGAAAGTTTGTTATCCGGATCAACATATACGATACTTTTTATTGCGGGAAAATATCTCATCTCTAAGAAATCTATACTAAACGTTAAAACGTAACTAGGGACGAACCCGAGCAGAGCGAGTGTGGGTCGCTAGTACCTAATCAATATAAAAATGGATTCAATTCAATTCAATTCTTTAGGTTTGTGGCTTCTAGGAATTGAATTGAATTGAATCCATTTTTAAATGGAATTTCGAACTTGTATCAGTTGTCTAGAGTCATCACTTTACAGTATTTTAGTACATAAGAGTGAGAAACAATGGCATAGCTTTCCTAGCTAGAATTACTGCTCGCGATCCCAAACAATACAGTTGAGGATCCCGAGGGAATGTATTGTAGTCTGTAACCCTCCAATTGAATTAGGAGAAAAATAAAACTGGTAAAGAAATACACGTTGCTTCAGCTTTTAGCTGTCTCAACACCAGCTTTTAAGTTAGTGTGTCGATTTTGCGACTTTGCACTAATTTTTAAAAACTGAGATGATACGTGCTTTTAACTGTATATAAGTTTATTGGATTTCTTAGAAAATTTTTAAGATTGTAAGCAAGAGAGGGAATTAAAATTATTATTATTATTTTAACTACTGTATTTTTATTGATTTTATATTTAACTTCTTTCGCCATAACAAAATGACGACATTTTATTACAGTATTTACAGTTTTTAGGGTTCCGTACCCGAAGGGTGCCAACGGAACCTCTATTAATAAGCCTACGCTTTGCGTTCGTCCGTTCGTCCGAGGTCAGACGGCTGTATCTCATGAGCCGTAATAGGTAGAGAGTTGAAATTTTCACAGACTACCTATGTATTTCTATCGCCTCTATAACAATAAATAATAAAAATAAAAAAAATTAAATACTGATTTTTTCTATACTAACAATAGATTTTGTCCTAAACTAACAATAAGATAAAGTAAAACATTTATTTTAAATAAAACTATCTTTTCGGATTTTGTCGCGGGTTTATTTGCATTTTTGTTTCCCGACGTTTCGAATGCTTTACAGCAATCATGGTCACGGGAGAGACTCTCAGTCTCAGTCTCAGTATTCGCGTAAATCTAAGAAAGTATTATAAAACATTTATTTTTATTGAGGCAGTAGTAGCCCAGTGGTAACGCGCTCGCTTGGGAAACCGAGTGATGCGGGTTCAAATCCCGGGTCTCGCACCTCTGATATTTTCAAGTGCTAATCATTTCTAGCATGATTACCACTTGCCTTACGGTGAAGGCAAACATCGTGAAGAAACCTGCATGTCTGAGAAAACTTAATAAGTTTTCAAAAGACATGTGAAGTCCGCCAACCCGCACTTGGCCAGTGTGGTGGACTATGGCCTGATCCTCTTGTATTGAAGGGAGGCCCGTGCCCAGCAGTGGGACGTTAAAAAGGGCTGAATACACATACAAAACACTTATGAGCTTTATATTAAATTTCAAAAACGTCGTAGAAAATCGATATTTTATATATTTATAGATTAAAAACATTCTAAAGTAAAGAAATAAAGTTGAATTAAATATTTATACATTCGTAAGACTGCAATACAAAACGTTTAGTTTAAACGAATGTCTGGAGAAGTTAAATATTGTAGTACCTACACAGAATTCTTTGCTGGCAAACATCATCCTTAACCGCTTTTGTTTAACAGTTGCTTATCAAACAATGTGGAAATAGAAAGAAAATAGAGTTATAATATTATAGGTTTATAATATGTTATTATAACATTCATATCTGTTATGTACGTCTGTATTTCTGTATGTGAAAAGTATCTTAGTTCCTGATGAACATTAATATTATAAACTAGCGACTCACCCTGACTTCGCTCAAGTTCGACCCTAGCTTGATTCCCCATACAAACTTTCATCCCCATTTTCATCCCCTTAAGAGATGATTTCCACGATAAAAGTTCTTTCCAGTGTTTCAAACTATCATCTTATCAAATTTCTTCTAAATCGGTTCAGTAGATCCAGGGATTACCCCCTACAACGTTACAAACTCATAATTTCACAAACTTTACCTCTTTATAATATTAGTATTATTATAAATATAAACAATTTGCACTGGTTTTTAGCAACAAAATAGCTTAATCGATTTTGATGAAATTTTTTATCCCATTTAGACTATAAAAAAAAAGAATTACTTAAAAAATCTAAATAGAATACGAATAAAGTGGCTCAGGCGAAACTTGGGCGAGTTGACGGCATTTTGATAAAATGATTATTTTATTAAAACTTTTAAAAGCGGTATGTGTGCTAGTAATTATACTGTAACCTTTTTTCAAAAGCTCTCTTCAGAAAGAAATTTACCAACGCATTAAAACTTTTACAAGACAATATATTATGTCATTGTTAGCTTTTGTTAAAAGTTAGGTAATATGGAAAACTTAAGGTAAAGCAAAGGTTTCAGACTTGATTTTTTTTTAATTCAAAGCTACATTAAAGCGTACATCACATCATCCTACATGTCCCTTAGGCTACTGTCTTATACAATTGTGTGTGTACTTGTAGCTTGAGGGCAAGTACAAATATGCTATATGAGTAACTGGCGACTCACCATCGCTTCGCTCGGGTTCTTCCCTAAGTACAATTTAACGGTTAGTATAGAATAGATTGACTATATATAGTACGATATATAGTTTATAGCTTTCCTCAATAAACGAGCTATCTAAGGCAAAAATAACTTTTCAAATCAGATTAGTAGTTTGTGAGATTAGCGCGTTAAATCAAACAAACTAACTCTGCCACTTTATAATATTACATAGATTATACGATGCCCATGTAAATAATAGTTGCGGGCTTAATTCGCTTAATATAACAAATACCTGTCTGTTTGTACCTGTTTTTTCTTTTTATCTCTATCACACACAAACTAGAATTCATTTTAACATAACGTTCACTGGATAGAAAATATGGCAGGAAGTGCTTTCATTTTGACATGAGTCATGACGTTCACTGGCATGTAGAAAATAATGCTGAAATTGAAATAGGCTTTTCCTTGCAAGCGAGTGAAGTCGCCTGTTAAAGTTAGTAATAAAATATCATAACTAAGAAAAAATATTTCTCCATCTCTCCACATATGTAAATATGTATTGAAACTTTAGTAATAAATGCCTAGTATATGTTTGCCGTCAGTTACGTAGCTCGGCTGTTACCGAGCTTACAATTTGAACTCGATATTAACAAGCTAGCTTTTGCACGTGGCTTCGCGTGGTAGGTATGTTGATATAAACCCTATGAGATATTTCAAGATATTAGCTCTCCATTGTGAATTTTAAATAAATTTCATTAATTCCTTATAGGTAAAGTGGTATCAAAAACGCATATTCACAAATTTGTGCTTTTTTAATTCAAATTTTGTTAATACTTTCTTTTTACACGAATATTTGACATTTTAAATAAAACTATTTTTTTTGGATTTTTTCGCATTCGCGATTTTTTTGGTTTCCGACGTTCGTTTTTCATTTTTTTTAAATAGTAGGTAGACACTGCCTGTAACATACAATGACCTTTGAGACGTCTAAAACCTAAGTTTCTCCCGTGACCATGATTGCTGTAAACCATTCGAAAAGTCGGGAACCAAAAATCAAAATAAATCGAATCGAAAAGATAGTCTTATTCAAAATGTCAAATTCTGATGTTAATATACGCTTATTTCTTTCTGTTACTTTTCACGGCTTAACCGTTGAACTGATTTTAATTTAATCTGTCATAGCTTTTATTACGGACAAATTGGCGATTCCCACAGGATAGAGGATAAAAGTTGTAGGAAAATTATTTTAACGTGCGGATATTACTTGTCGGATTAACATTGTTTTACATAATTGTTAGACAATTCTCGGATGTAAGTAAGTTTAATGCGGAAAAGCGATAAGATCCCTCGAGATAGCAGTTTGAGTTTATCTAAAACAAGTTAAAGCATCAATAAAATGTCTCGATATATATTATATTTCCTTATCATTGCTCAGATGTTATCATATCAAAATCAGAATTTAGATTTAAAAACTAATAATTTAGCGAATATCACAAGATACTTAATAAAAAATTTTTTTAAACTGTCCACCAAGCACTCAAATGAAAAAAAGAAATAAACGGGGGTTTTCATTTAGAATAGATACCTAATCAGATATTTTCGAAGTCGGTGCCAGCCGATGCAAAGCAAATCTAATATATGTATTTCGATACGTAAAATTCATCACAAATTTATGTATAATATTTGAACTAAAATTAGAGTTCATACCAAATCATATTTACCTATTAGATATTCATGTCTTAAAATATTGTCGCCTCGCACCGACTGGGACCTCCTCCTTTTTGGAAATCGGTTAAAAATACTAAATAAAACTATCTTTTCGGATTTTTTGGAGGATTTATTTAGATTGTTGTTTGCCGACTTTTATAATGCAAATAAAAGGAAAGTCTCTCCCGACCATGATCGCTGTAAAGCATTCGAAACTAATTATATTTGAAATTACTTAAAATTATTGGCGTAAATCTTAGAAAGTGTTATAGAAAAATATTATTATATGGAATAATCTGTTGTATTTTTACATATTTTAGGCAATCAAGATACTTCGTTTAAGTAGAAAATAGACTAAACAAAACCTCTCAACATATAACAAAAACATGCCACTTAAGTATATCAAAACGGTGGCTTGAGAAAAGCCATGCAACATGAATAATTTAAACTCTTCTTTAGTATTAAATATTCATATTTACGTATCGTGCCAATTTGAAACAATGTTTTATTTACTTTTGTTTTGGTTTCAGAGGACTGATGTCGACACGCCGATGTCAATGGTGAGTAAATCACAAAATATGCCAGAAATACATAAAAATAGCACGTTAAGTTTTTATATCTTTAAATAAAAATATGTAATCCTGATAAAGTCATGCCACCTTTTGGGCTTGCAAGTATTAAAAAAAAAAATATATATATTTTTAATTTAGTGCAATAGATACTTTGTATTGTATTTAGCCATTTTTGACGTCCCACTGCTGGGCAGGGGCCTCCCTACGATAATAAATACGAGATACGAGAAGATTAGGCCATATCCACCACGCTGGCCAAGTGAAAGCGCAAATTTGTTATAGAAGATACCAATTGAAATTTACCTTCCAATAATTATATTTAAAACTTATGAAAGAGGGTAACAGGTAACTTAAATTGTAACCGTATTATGTTTATGTTAAATTATAGTCTGGAAATTTTGGCAGCTCAGTTTGTGAGTTGACAAACTGAAGTGTCATCATTTTCATACTTTACGCTTAACTAATAATAATGTGATTAATGTACGTAAAAGTACTTGTTTAAAAGGCATTGTTTCAATCAATACTTGAAATTAACAAATCTAACTAAAAACCAGCAAAAAGAGAACGCTATTACTATTATAATATATTATTTTCGATTAGACATCTTGAAGATATAAAATCTTACAGAATTTGCGAATATTAAATATTTCATACGTAATACCGACGTTTTACGACTCCTCAGAACGTCTACGAGGGCTAACTCATAAAGTAGAATTGTCAATATAGTGACATCTGCCAGTGGACCGTCCCAAACAATCGCTCAAAGCAAATTACGAAATCTTTCACGTTAGGCGGAAGGGGAGGCTTTTCATAAAGGGCACGGGCATTTTCAAGAATAAAATCCCAACGACACTTGGAAAACCTATCGGAACGCCTGCCACTCGAAATCTACAGCTAATTATTCGACGCGACCCCATCTCATGAAACGCCCAAAGTTTTTGTATCTCTTAAAATTTATCAATTACAAAAAGACTTAAAATTCGAAATGGTCTAAAGTAAGACGTGAAGTAAAATAACCTGCTTTGTTTCGTTATATCAAAGTTTGGGAACACTGCTTAGACTCATTTGAGTTTATACAGTTCCCTCGAATGCGAATAGCCTTTTGGGTAATTTCTTTTATTAATTCTCGTCTTGGTCACGCACAGAGGTAGGCGGAATAATAAACTGTGAAACAAAGGGGATGAAATGAAATTCGGAATAATATTTACGCCGGACCCTCAACCGACGGAAACCAAACGTCAGGTGTAAATTTTCCAGTTTTTCCCCGGTTTTTCGGAAAAACTTTTCAGGGTTTTCCTTCCTGATTCGCTAACACGAGTTTTGGTCCTTGATGCGACTCTAAGTTCACAACGGCTTTCTATTGTCTCTGTTTTGAATTTATTATAATATTTTACTGAGTAGATTACAAGTGAAAAGGTGGACTGATCCCGGACTTTATGTATTTCTTGTATAAACATTTTTTATGCGAAGCATTGTAATATTTTGTTGCCAGCCCATTTTATATTACCCTTGAGATTACTTAATTCTGCTTTATTATTCAACATTCTTAAATAAAAAATTTAAAAATCTTTACCATATTGTCTGTATCATGTTATGCCCAAGTGGTAAAGTTTGTTCGGTTTATTTCTGTTTTATGATTCGACAATATAGAAAATAAAAAATCTAAGGATTCAGTAAATAAAAAAGCTTAAAAAGTTTTATCAAACCAAAGTAAATTATTAAAAATATATGAATATAAATGCATATTGTAGAACATCGTTGTATGAAAAACCTTACAGGACAAAATAACAAGTCCTAAAATTAGCTAGCAACAATGGACGTAGCATACAAATAACTAAGTCTTTCTTGACTCCGTGTTTGTTTCGGCGCACTCAAAGCCCATTTCCCCCTCGCCCCCTGTTTACTCGCTGCTCTAAAGAACTCATCTTCTGCCGGCTTTTAGGGTTCTCTGAGATTGTATCACAGAAAGGCGTTAGGCTTTGCAATTTACGACACCACTGCTTATAATATATTCATATTATTTCAATGTTTCCAAGGACCTTCTAATAGGGTGCCTAACGAGCCATATTCTTGAACTGGAATGAAAAAGGTGTGTAAAGTCCCTTTTTAATTAATTTCAAGTACCATAAGTTATTTTTAGACTCTGTTATGATTGCACAAGAAACGAACTAAATAAAATTTTATTCCTCATTAAGAAAAGAGTTGTTACAGAGAGCTTTTGAAGATATTTTTAATCAAAATACCACTCTAAGCACAATGTTTATAATTTTTGTGAATATGACATTTATTGCTTTTTTTCGGTAAGTAAAAACAAATTTTGTGTTAGGTGTCAAACATTCAGCCCTTTTTTAAAGTCCCACTGCTGGGAACGGATCGCCCTTTATTACTGCAAGGGGGGCCAGGTCATAGTCCATCACGCTGGTCAAGTGCGGGTTGGCGGATTTCACATGTCTTTCGAATACTTGCTAGGTTCTCTCAGACATGCAGGTTTCCTCACGATGTTTTCCTTCACCGTAAGACAAGTGGTAATCACGTTAAAATACATACATACATACATACATACATACATATGTTAAAATACGCAAACGTATGAAAACGAATTAAAATTTATTTTTAGAAATTGTTACGAAATTCAAAAATAATTCAGTCACAAAAAATAAAACTAATCTTTTAACACTTGCTTATAAAAACAATAAAATTTCTTACAATATCAAGAAATCTCCGAAACCAACACAACTTTATATAAGTATCCTAAACCGTAGTCTTAAACTCTTCGAGTAAAATCCTAATGAATAAAACAATTGACACAATCCTGTCTTATCTTTCTTCTATACCATATAATAAATTTCTAACCGAGTCGAATCTGTACGTCGAACATTTTATTGCAAAATCTTATTGCAATAGTCATTATTACCGATACAGAGGCCAAATCTATAGTTTTTAGATTTTTCGTCTGTCTGTCTGTTTGTCTGTCTGTCTGGGACTGCATCACAAGAAAACGACTGGACGGATTTTGATGAAATTTTATACGATGATAGCTAGTTATCCGGATCAACTTAAAGGATACTTTTTATTGCGGGAAAATATCTCATCTTTGAGAGATCGTTTAAATACTAAACGTTAAAACGCAACTAAGGACCCGAGCGGAGCGAGGGTGAGTCGCTAGTCACTATATAACTGTAAAACGGATGCACCCGTTATCATGTGATGAATAGAGGGTTTCCACCCAGATAACCGCGATAGGATCGTGAAGTAATTTGTCTGAGTAATTTACGTGACGGTTATAATTAAAGTTATCAACCCTCGGTCTTTGTTCTTTTTAAACCATGAACACGCTTTAAGCTAAACTAATGCTTTACCGTGCACTATCTAAGATAAATAAAGCGAAGAATTCTGTTGTAATTAAACAGCCATTGAATTCGTTATTTGCATTTCGCTGCACTTGTGGCTCGAGCGCTTTTTTATAGCAATTTGTTGTCTTATTTCTTAGGCAGAGTTCAATAAAATCAAGAGGTTATCTATTCGGGTGAACGCTTGTATGTTGCACGATATTTTATATCGTATTAGCGGCTCACCTCGCTTCTCTCGAGTTCGCCTCTAGGAAAACAAAAACAAACCGTATATTTTGCCGGAATAAAAACTAGCATATGTGTTATTCCTGACTATAATCTATCTCTGTGCCAAATTTCATCCAGGTCCGTTCAGCCGTTCTGGCGTGAAAGGGTAACAAACATCGATACTCACACACACACATCTATAATATTAATACGGATTATATACTTGTATTCAGCCCTTTTTATAGTCCCATTGATGGGCACGGCCTCCCTTAAATGCTAATGGATCAGGCCATAGTCCACCACGCAAGCCAAGTGCGTGTTGGCGGACTGCAATTATCTTTCGAAAACTGTCTAGGTTCTCTCAGACGTGCAGGTTTCCTCACGATGTTTTCCTTCACCGTAAGACAAGTGGTAATCACGTTGGAAATGATTTGGACATGAAAATATCAGAGGTGTGAGACCCGGAAGTTGAACCTGCTTCACTCGTTTTCCTTAACGAACGCGTTAACATTGGGCTACCACTGCCATACATATATATTTTAATTTATTTTTTAAGTATTTAAAAAACTTTCAAGTTAAATAATATTTGCACTAAGTACATATATGTGTATATGTATGTTTTACACATTACAGAGTATTTGTATTAAACAAATTATTTTGACCATTATTTTAACTTTTTGAGACCCTTTCTTTGACTTATGAGTTATGTTTTAATTTAAAATATTTTAAAATTCTGGGTTACTAAAAGCTCGTTCTTGGTTCTAATTTTGTCAAAGTCATTGTGTTATGTTGGTTCTTTCAGATTGATTTAAAACTTCAAAATCTCATCATAATCGACACAGATTTTTAGGTTTCCATGTTCTAAAAGTATGATAATCTCCATTTTTCTTACTTTTCTACATTCAATCTAGTGGGTATTATATTTTTATTACGAAAAATACCTAAAAATCTTATCGATGTAATAAATTGCTAATATTAAATAACTTATGTTATCAAATAAATAAATTGATTCTCGAACTCGGACGGAGTTTGACAAAAGATATTTATCTCTAGGATATATGTTATATGATTATATGTAGTAATTTTCCTTTTATGTTTTATTTCAAAATCCTTTATTGTGTATTTAGGACACCACCGTGCAAATAGTCAAGTTGTGCAAATCGATACTTTTTGGTCTTTATTCCGATATATACATATTGTAAACACCATTAACTTTACCTGAAAATCGAATCTGTTATATTATTAGCAATAGCTTAACACGCTGTAACTGTAATAAAGGTAAAAATATATTTTGTGCGTGTTGTGTTCAACCTTTCCTTTTCAGCGTCCCACTACTGGGCACGGGTCTCCTTTCATTACGAGGGGGATCAGGCCATAGTTCACCACACTGGCCAAGTGCGTGTTAGCGAACTGCACATGTCTTTCGAAATA